CTCTTGTTACCCAGGCTGGAGTGCAATGGCACGATCTCGGCTCACCGCAACCTCCGCCTCCTGGGTTCAGGCAATTCTCCTGCCTCAGCCTCCTGAGTCGCTGGGATTACAGGCACGCCCCACCATGCTCAGCTAATTTTTTGTATTTTTTTTAGTAGAGACGGGGTTTCACCATGTTGACCAGGATGGTCTCGATCTCTTGACCTCGTGATCCACCCGCCTCGGCCTCCCAAAGTGCTGGGATTATAGGCGTGAGGCACCACGCCCAGCCTTATGCTCATGTACTTGTAATATGGGTAGTAATCTCTTCAAAACGCTCCGGCAATGCCACGAGGGGTGAAGTTCCGCATCAAGATCCAGCTTGGCAGCTCCCCTAGCTTGACCTCCAGAAGTAAAATGTGAGTAGACATTAATGGCTTGCCTGTATTCTTTATATTTGTATGATTTTTCCCAAGCGTAATAGCTTTCCTGTGAAATAAGGTGGAAGCACTGATTAAACGTTTTGCCACATTCTTCACACTTGTAAGAGTTTTGCCAGTATGAATTGTCTTAAAATACAGTGTGGCAACCATATACAGTAGAGACTTTGTCACATTTTATTTATTTCTAGAGTTTCACACTAGCGTATTTTTTTTTAATGTATAGAAAAGTTGGAGGTGTTGGTAAAAGCACTGTCACATCTTTCAGGTTTGTAGTTTCTCTTCAGCATGAATTATCGTCATGTCTTTTAAGAATTGACAACTTGTAGCCAGGTACAGTGGCTCACACCTGTAATCTCAGCACTTTAGGAAGCCAAGGCAGTGGATCACCTAATGTACAGAGTTCAAGACCAGCCTGGCAAACATGACGAAACCTAGTCTCTACCAAAAATACAAAAATTAGCCAGGTGTGGTGGTGGACATCTGTAATCCCAGCTACTTGAGAGGCTGAGGAAGGAGAATGGCTTGAACCCAGAAGGCAGAGGTTGCAGTGGGCTAAGATTGTGCCATTGCACCCCAGCCTTGGTGACAAGAGGGAAACTCCATTTCAAAAAAAAAAAAAAAAAAAAGAATTGAGAACTTGTTAAACTTGTTATAGGCTTTGCCACATTCTTCACACTTGTAGGGTTTCTGTCAAGCATGAATTATGTGTAATAAGGGTTGAGAACTTCCTTAAGTCTTTGTCATATTCTTTATATTGGTAGGGTTTATGTTCCATATAAATTCTCACATTTAGTAAAAGTTGAGGGCTTGTTAAAGGGTTTCCCACATTCATCACATCTTTGGGTTTCTCTCCAGTATGAATTATCTTATGTTTATTAAGGCTTGAGGAACATTTAAAAGATTTGCCACATTCTTCACTATGTAGGACTTCTGTCCAATATGAATTCTCTTATGTTTATTAAGGGTTGAGGACCAGTTAAAAGCTTTGCCACATTTCTCACATTTGTAAGGTTTCTCTCCAGTATGAATTATCTTATGCTCAGTTAGAGTTGAGAATGCAGTAAAAGCTTTGCCACATTCTTCACATTTGTAGGGTTTCTCTCCAGTATGAGCTCTCTTATGTTTAGTGAGGCTTGAGGACCAAGGAAAGGTTTTGCCACATTCATCACATTTGTAGCGTATATCCCCAGTATGAATTCTCTTATGTTTAGTAAGGTTTGAGGAACGGTTAAAAGCTTTGCCACATTCTTCACATTTGTAGGGTTTCTCTCCAGTATGAATTATCTCATGTTTAGTAAGGGTTGAGGAAGAAATAAAGGCTTTGCCACATTTATTACACTTGTATGGTTTCGCTCCAGTATGAATTTTCTTATGTGAAAAAAGGGTTGAGGGGTGGTTAAAAGCTTTGCCACATTCTCTACATGTGTAGGGTTTCTCTCCAGTATGAATTTTCTTATGTATAGTAAGGTTGGTGAACTGCTTAAAGGCTTTGCCACATTCTTCACATTTGTAGGGTTTCTCTCCTGTATGAATTTCCTTATGTGTCGTAAGGCTTGAGGACTGGTTAAAAGCTTTTCCACATTCTATATATTTCAAAGGTTTTTTTCCAGTATGTTTTATCTTATGTCTGTTTGAATTTGAAAATTTATTAAAGGCTTTCACATATTTATCACATTGAAATATATTTCTCTGGGTAGTTCTCAAACATTGGTTAAGTCCATTATAACCTCTTTTGTGTACCTTATACTCATCCACACTTTTACAGCCTTTTTTGAACTGCAAATCGTCATGTTCACATTTTTCATAGCTTCTCAGTATTACTTTTTGAAAAGAATCTTTTATGCTGTGCTCTGGCCAAAGGTCTTGGGCTAAATGAGAACACATAACTGAAAGAAACAATAGAAACATATTACTTCAAATGCTAGACTCAGATAAATATACTTTACAAATCTAACCTATAAAATTACACAAACTACAAAAGCAAGATGACAAAGCAAAATACCACAAGCTGTAATTTCTTTCCGGACAAATAAATGTAGCAAAAACATACTGTCCAAAACACATTTAAAAAATTTATAAATGAATTAAATTTATGAAGGGCCCCAGGTGAGCACAGTGAGAAGAACCACATAGAAGAAAAAAGAAAGTCTATTATTTATGCCCAACACAGCTCTTTCTGCTCTCTAGTATAACATTGTGCCTTTAAAAGTAAACTTCTGGCAAGGCATGATGGCTCATTTCTGTAATCCCACCACTTAGGGAGGGCAAGGTGGGTGGATCACCTGAGGTCAGGAGTTGAGACCAGCCTGACCAACATGGTAAAACCCCATCTCCACTAAAAATACAAAAAAAAAAAAAAAACAACCAAAAAAACCCCACAACAAATAGCCAGTCATGGTAACAGGTACCTGTTATCCTGGCTACTTGGGAGGCTGAGGCAGAATTGCTTGAACTGTGGAGGCAGAGGCTGTAGTGAGCCAAGATCATGCCACTGCAATGCTAGCCTAGGTAACAGTAAGACTGTCTGTCTGTCTCACATGCAAAAATGTAAATTGCCAACTCCTGGTTTCTGTCTTAAAAAACAAGAAAATTAGGCCAGGTGCGGTGGCTCAAGCCTGTAATCCCAGCACTTTGGGAGGCCGAGGTGGGTGGATCACGAGGTCAAGAGATCGAGACCATCCTGGTCAACATGGTGAAACCCCATCTCTACTAAAAATACTAAAAATTAGCTGGGCATGGTGGCGCGCGCCTGTAATCCCAGCTACTCGGGAGGCTGAGGCAGGAGAATTGCCTGAACCCAGGAGGCGGAGGTTGCGGTGAGCCGAGATCGCGCCATTCCCCCCCAGCCTGGGAAAAAAAGCGAAACTCCGTCTCCAAAAAAAAAAAAAAAAAAAAACAAAACAAGAAAATTATTGGCATATGCATCTTTATTTCTGGCTTCTAGGTGCTTTTTTAGACACTGGTTAATGTCTCCCATGACATAAAATGCTGAAAGAAATGGTGATATACGTTGGAATGACAGTTTGAGTCTGCTGAGTCTAAAGGTAAATGTTACAGAAGCAGAGAAACTGCAGTACCCCAAACAGGGAATGGATTAGCAAGTGACTACTATTAAGAAGAAATATGAATAAGCCAATTTAACTAAACAATAAACACAAAATTTTAGACAAGACACATCCTAAAATCATGTTTGAGAAATTCCCAGAATCTCTAGCTGAGACAATTGACTTCAGACTACCAAGGACAAAGCTATATTGTAAAGACTGTAACAGGTGACTTTTTAATGTCCAAATCTCAGTCAAAGATTACAATGTATACAACATATTAGAGCAACATGGCCCCATCAAAGAAATTATAAAATTTTCAGAAGCCACCATAAAAAGTATATAAAGTAATTTTAAAAATTCAAAATAAATGGAAGAGGCCAGGCTTCGTGGCACATTCCTATTTATCCCAACACACTGGGAGGCCAACGTGGGAAAATCACATGAGGTCAGGAGTTTAAGACCAGCCTGGCTAACGTGGTGAATCCCTGTATGTACGAAAAATACAAAAATTAGCTTGGTGTGGTGGCATGTGCCTGTAATCCCACCTACTTGGGAGGCTGATTCACGAGAATTGCTTGAACCCAGGAGGGGAAGGTTGCAGTAAGCATAGATTGTGCCACTGCACTCCAGCCTGGGCAATAAAGACTCTGTGTCAAAAATAAAATAGGCCAGCAGTGATGGCTCACGCCTGTAATCCTAGCACTTTTGGAGGCCAAGGTGGGGACATCATTTGAAGTCAGGAGTTCAAGATCAGCCTGGCCAACATGGTGAAACCCCATCTGTACTAAAAATACAAAAAGTTAGCCGGGCATGGTGGCAAATTAGCTGGGTGTGGTGGCAGGCTCCTGTAATCCCAGCTACTCAGGAGGCTGAGGTAGGAGAATCACTTGAACCAGGGAGGCAGAGGTTGCAGTGAGCCAAGATTGTGTCACTGCACTGCAGCCTGGGTGACACAGTAAGTCTCTGGGTCATAAATAAATAAATAATAATAAAATAAATGTGTCCTTCGTAGGGACATGGATGAACCTGGAAACCATCATTCTCAGCAAACTGACAGAACAGCAGAAGATCAAACACCGCATGTTCTCACTCAAAGGCGGGTGTTGAACAATGAGGACACATGGACACAGGGAGGGGAGCACTACACACTGGAGTCAGTTGGGGGGAAATAGGGGAGGGACGGTGGGGGGTGGGGAGCTGGGGAGAGATAGCAAGGGGAGAGATGCCAGATGTAGGTGATGGGGAGGAAGGCAGCAAACCACACTGCCACATGTGTACCTATGCAATAATCTTTCATGTTCTTCACATGTACCCCAAAACCTAAAATGCAATAAAATAAATGGGAAAAAAAACCCATAAATGTAAAAATGAAAAAAAATAAAATAAAATAAATTGAGTAATATTCAAGAAGTGAAATAGGAACACAGACAACTACTGAAGATCACAAATATGAGGATAACAACAAAAAATGTTATACTATCTGAATGTAAAAAATACAAAAAATAACAAACATTTTTTTAAGCAAGAAAAAATAGGGCCGGGCGCGGTGGCTCAAGCCTGTAATCCCAGCACTTTGGGAGGCTGAGGCGGGTCGATCACGAGGTCAAGAGATCGAGACCATACTGGTCAACATGGTGAAACCCCGTCTCTACTAA